TATATTAAGGGTGTCGCCCGCTGCCACTTTTTCAACATAGAGGTCGCAAATACTTGTGCCCTTATGGAGTAACTGAGGAGAATAGAAAATCTTCTTAATATCATAGAGTTCGTTTTATGGAAGTTTGTTATGGGCAGGTTTGTTTTAAACACGTATAGGCTATGCAAATAAAGTTCGCTCTAATGGATTAAAGTGTCAGGAGCATAACCAAAATTTTATTTCGAGGCAGATTTTCACTTCCAAGGGTGTGTGTGCATGTATGCATGTCTGGTGCACATACATTGCATGAGTTTTTAGGAAGCTGCGCTAAGTAAGCCGTAAAAGATGCAAAATTGGGAATAAGGAAGAATGGAACCCCTGATATGCAGTGGCTATTGGTAGCAGTGCATGGCTACGCATTTTTCATCAGATTGGTGAGCGGTGCTTGATAATTTACATTGTACCACTCTGTTTTCAGGCTCTGTTATACTATAAATTTCTCAGCACGTGGGCATATAGCGCTGATATTTTGTCACATCAACTTGGTGATGTGCCAAGTGTAAGTATGGTTGCCCTATTGTAAGGGGCGGCACTAGGATCATTTTTCTGAGGCAACATCTGCGATAAGTGGTTTTCTTTGGGGGTAGCCATTGTGTTATGACTATGTTCCCAGGCGAAAATTTTGGGGAGGAGGGGAGGGGGCTCCAGCACCCTGATGCCCACCCCTGGCGCTGCACCTGCCTACTGTTGAAGCGACTTTCATAGTGGTGAAGTGCCTACAGTTGTAGAAGCACATGTGAATCAATGCAAAAGATGCACCATGCTGCCTGTCATGAATACACATTGTGTACACAAATCTATTCCAGCATCTGAACACATCAGATGTCACCACTTGTTGCATCAGTGGTCAGTGTGGCGTAATCGTTCAGCCGTTATCATGTTTACGTGGTGCCATGCCGCCCCTACCGGGGCAACGCCCTGCGCATGCGTGCCATACAGGCACATGTATATATTCAGAATAAATAAAGAGTACGGGGGCGTTTTCCCGTTCGTGTTCAACACGGTGTCGTTCGTCACGGAAACCCGACATGGTGTCAGAAGTGTAGCACACTGCTTTTCGAGCTATGGCGAGTGCAGAAAATACGGGTTTCTGCCAGCCCTTCCCGGTACAACCGCCAACAAGCTTCAACTTTGACAAGGTGTCAGAGTGGCCGGCGTTGGTGCAAGACTACGATGATTATCGATTTGCTTCCAACTTTAGCGAGTGAACTGGGGAAGTTCAAGTATGTACGCTGATGTATACGATGGGGCGACATGCTTGCAACATATTCCGGACCTTTGAATTATCAGAAGAACAGTCAAAGGACTATGAAGTGGTGAAGAAACGCTTCGACGCATACTTCGTTGCCACATGGAACTTGGTCTACGAAAGTGCGTGCTTCCATCGTCGCCACCAAGCTGCAGGTGAATCGGTGGACCAGTACGTGACGGCGTTACATACGCTGGCAGATAGGTGTGACTATGGCGTGATGGAAGAGAGGTTGATCCTCGACTGTTTTGTCGTTAGACTACGGGACTCCAAGCTGTCAGAGGCCCTCCAAATGGACGCAACACTGAATCTGAAAGCTGCACTGCCCAGGGCAATAATGAAAAAAGCGGTACAACAACAACAACATGATCTTCACAACAGTGCGTACTACCAAGCAACCAGCCTTGAGGTAGACGCTGTTCATCGAGAAGCTTGCGGGTGGGCACAGCACCAACGGGTCAACAAAGACGTCCGAAAGTGTGTGGCGTGTAGCAGAGCCCGTCATTGGAAGTCATCGTGTCCTGCAAAAGTAGCAATCTGCTACAGGTGCCAACGACGAGGACACTTCGCTGCGGTGTGCCCACAAAGGCAGGACTTCACGAATGCCGAAGCAAGTGCATCCGAGGTAGGCCTGTGCAGTATTTGCTGAAGTCATGCTTCGAGTAAGCAGTTAGATCGAAGGGGTGTAACGTACTTTGTTGGGACTTTAGCTGGTACGTTTGCAAGAGCTCACTTTATTCAAGTCGCTATTGAAGGGGTGACCGTATCTGCTAAAGTCGACACAGGAGCAGAGGCCAACGTTGTTTCAGCATCCTTCCCTGGTGTACCGAAAGATCTACTGCAGTTTAACGTAATTTTGAAGGGGCCAGGCAGTGAAGTGTTAGACCTAAAAGGAAAATTCACTGCCAATATTCTGTGAAGACGATGTCAGATTAGGCAGGACGTTTTTGTCGTCAACTCGGGGAGTAATGTCATTTTAGGCTTGCCAGCAATAGGAATTGTGAAATTTGTAGACGACGCCTCAGTTCATCAAACTGTGCAAACGTGTTTCCCTTCTCTGTTCCATGGTTTAGGTACCATGAAAGGAGAATACTGTATTAGTCTCAAAGAAGACGCAGTGCCCTATGCTATTCACACCGCTCGTCGTATACCCATCCCGCTGAGGGATGGCGTGAAATGCGAGCTACAGGAAATTGAAAGAAACGGAGTGATTCGTAAAGTTGAAGGGCCTGCGAATAGAGTGCTGGCATAGTGCCCATCTTAAAGCCTTCCAGGCAAGTTCGGATCTGTGTTGATCTTACGCATTTGAATAAGAGTGTGAAACGTGAGCGGTTTGTGCTTCCCACTGTTGATGAGACACTTGCGCTGCTTAGTGGAGCAGTGGTGTTTTCTAAACTTGACGCAAACTCGGGATTCCATCAGGTAAAGCTAAGCGAGGGCTGTCAGCTACTCACAACGTTTATTACTCCCTTTGGACGTTATTGCTTTCAGCGTCTGCCGTTCGGAATAACATCTGCTCCTGAGTATTTTCAAAGGCAGATGTGTGAAATCCTTGATGGAGTGCCGGGGGTCGTAAACATAATGGATGATGTACTGGTCTTTGGTTCGTCTCAGAAAGAGCATGATGAGAGACTGTTCCAGATTTTAAACCGATTGGCAGAAGCCGGCGTAACCCTGAATTGGGAAAAATGCCAGTTTAGTGTAAAAGAGCTTTGTTTTTTGGGATGCCGAGTGAGCAAAGATGGCATACGACCGGACCCAGCTAAAGTTAGGGCGATCAGTGATATGAAGCCACCGGAAAATGTAAGCGACATGCGCCGATTCTTTGGTCTCACAAATCATTGCTCGCGGTTTATACCCGACTTAGCAGATAAGACCGCGCCGTTACGTCAGTTGCTGCAAACGAACAAGGAGTGGAGTTGGGCTGCACCTCAGCAGATGGCCTTTGACAGCGTAAAGCAGGCCATCTGTTCCGATAGATGTATGGCGAAGTTTGATCCGCATAATCCAACTATTCTTTCTGCAGACGCATCTTCGTACGGTTTAGGGGCAGTTCTGCTTCAGGTACAACCAAACAAAGAAAGACGGCCAGTTGTGTTTATTTCCAGATCATTGACGCCAACAGAAATGCGCTATGAGCAAATTGAAAAGGAGACCCTAGCTCTAACCTGGGTGGCCGAACGTCTTGAAAGTTACGTACATGGGCTTTACATAACGCTGGAAACAGATCACAAACCGCTAGTCACATTGCTAGGAAGGACCCCGCTTGATTTATTGCCGCCGCACATTCAGCGATTTCGAATGCGTCTGATGCGATTCAGTTTCGAGGTGGAATATGTTCCAAGGAAAAACTTGGGAATTGCTGACGCACTTTCTAGAGCGCCGATGCGACAGCAAAACAGTAAGGGCGTCCTTTCGGTAGAGGAAGTCAACTCGTTTGTTTCTGGGGTGTTGTCAGAGTTGGGCGAGTCGGACCAGTTTCGACTGGTCGGCGAAGAACAGGCAAAGGACGAGACCTGCCGTATGTTGTGCCGTTATCTTCGTGAAGGATGGCCGAGACCAGCTTCGATGCCAAGCGTATTGAGGCCATATTGGCAAGATCGTGCAGCTCTGAGCGTCTGCAAAGGAGCGCTCATGCATGGCACGCGCCTCGTTGTACCACACTCGCTCCAGAATAGAATGTTAAGTCTGCTTCACGAAGGCCATCAGGGTATCGTGAGGTGCAGGGCGAGAGCAAGAGAATCCGTTTTGTGGCCTGGTTTAAGCTCTCAGCTTGCTACCGTGGTTGGCGATTGCCGCATTTGTTCACAGTTTCGAGACCAGCCGAGTGAACCTATGATCCCAACCCAGACACCTAATCACCCATAGCAAAGGGTTGCAGCAGATATCTTCCACCTCCATGGCCGGAACTACTTGCTTTTAGTGGACTATCTATCGCGCTTTTCTGAGTTGTGTTTGCTGACATTTCTTACTAGCAACAGCGTTGTTAGTCATATCAAAGCTGTATTTGCATGGCACGGTATTCCAAAAGTGCTGGTAACAGACAACGGTGCTCAATTTGTTAGTGAGGAATTTAAGGCGTGCGCGAGGGCTTATGGATTGGATTCCAGAGTGTGACGTGTAGCCCGAGATACCCGCAGGCAAATGGGGAGGTAGAACGAATGGTGAAAACAGTAAAAAGGCTACTCTTAGTCTCATGATCCCTATTTGGCTCTGTTAGCCTACAGGGACACCCCGGGACTACTAGGCAGAACACCAGCGGAGCTGCTCATGGGACGGCGGCTTCGTACCACCCTGCCTCTCCATTTGCCTCCCATTGGCACCCGGGGACAGTGTCTTGGTTAAGGACTGCAGACGGGAAATCAGTAGTCACCGTACTGTAGGGTAAAGCGCTAAGCTAACATGATGTTTATCTTGCAGTAAGACCGTAAGTTGGCCATTTGGTTGGGATCTATCGTGAACTTGTTTACAGCGCAACACCAGAAACACAGGACAGCGAAAGGCTCAGGACTCTTTTCTATGTGTTAACTAAACAACTCTGTCTTTTCTTTCTCTTTTGCTCTTTCCTTGTCCTGTGTTTCTAGTGTTGCGCTGTAAACAAGTTCATAATGTTTATCAGCTGCATGCTTCTTATTCCCAGTATAGCGGAGCTTACACTATTATTTCTGCAGCTGTCTGTGCTGATAAATAAAATATTGTCATCTGAGTGCAGGTCATGGAAGTGAGGAGCCACCGCCTGGTCTTCCTAGTGGTCCTGACTACATCAATACAGCACACAAGGCAGCTTCTTTGGAACGAACTAATGGGCGTACTCCACTGGTGAGAATCGTTAAAGTTGAGAAACTAATGCACTGGGCATTATGAAAGTTTTAATTTCAAGACTAAGTAGTTATAGTAACAATGGTGGAATGGGCCAAAGCTTTTTTGCGCAGCATTGTATGTCAATAATCTGTTTAAGTGCAGTTTAAGTTTAAAGGCAGCTATACATATGCTTGTAATGTGATCTGATCATGTAAGTGTTTTGGTCAAAGCTACTTCAAGATATTTTAAATTTTCTGCCATTTTGTGTATGTGATTACAGAGACAATTAGTATAAAGGCTTAGAGCTCACGTTTTTGTTGTTCTTAAGAGATCAAGAAAACTATTTTATTGCTATTAGATTCCGTACCCCCATTCTGGCACCAGTCGCCTGTACATGAAAGAGACTCCTGAAGTACCCAACACATGGTCATTTAAACAACATATTTCTTGGAAGACAACTCAGTCATCTATGTTTAATCCAATAGAAATGTTCTTACATGTTACATTAGCTAAATCATTAACAAAATATAAGAGCAGTAGGGAGCATAACACATTGCCTTGTGACACACCGAAAGAAACACTCAGGGAAGAGAAAGCACAACTGCTAACCTCAACAAATTGACTCCCTGTTTTTAAATACGCATTAATTTATTTAACAGTATCTGAAAGAAACCCACTATTTTCAAACTCTAATAAAGGTTTTCCCTCCATGATATGACTTGTAAAAGACATTGCTGAAATCTTCAAAAAAAAGAAACATTGGCCTGTCCTTATATGCCTGTGCAAATTCATACACTACAGGCACAAGCTGAGTTACTCTAAACATATTTTTTAATGAAACTTCCTAATTAAGAATAAGATATTATATTATGGTAAAGACCTCTTAATGTTATTCACAACAACATGCTCCAACATTTTACAGCAGCTACTTGTAATGAAAACAAGATCGTAATTTGACAAGGAATAGCGGTCTGCTTTTTAATGATCGGCACAATGTGAGCCATGTGACTCAGTTGGCTGATATCTCACCATATTTGAGTGATTCATTGAAAAGGGCTGTAAGGAAGTTGGTAATTTTTTTAGCATAATGCCGTAGGAATGAACTACTAATGTAGTCAAGCCCTAACTATTTGCTAGGATTAACTCTATATCACATTTGTAAACTATCTTCATTAGTTATCAGAACATCATCTGTAATTGTGGGTATGCATCACACAGTTCATAAGTTCTGAAAAAACACTCTGAATGTATACGTATTTACCCACGTAATGAACGCACTTTTTTTTTTCTAAAAAAATCTAAGCAAAAACAGGGGTGCGGTTATTATGTGGGGCAAATTTTATGAAAACATTTTCAGGATCAGCAAAAAATGCGATAATGAAAAAAAAAGTTAGGTCGCTTAGCCTTTCGCAATCGACATATACGTACACTGTTTGGAAACAGCTTCTCTGCTTCTCTGCACTTCTCTCATTTTTGGTGGTTGATGGTCCTATCTTCTACAAACTGTCTCCACGTTGCCCGTTTCTTTTCTCCCAATTGTTTAACTACAACAGTGGTATCTGCTGTGATCTCGAAGAAGGCCCAGAAGCATGCGCTAGGTACGCGCTTTGCCAAGTTCGGGGCAACCTCACATAATGAGTGCGACAAGTAACCAACATTGCAGCAAGCAACCACCGAAGCATTGAAACAAACTGTTGATAACAAGAATTATGACAAAATACGGCCGCCACCTCGCTGTCCACATGAGAAGTTACTGTAGAAAAAATAGCCTATATCTTGCGTTTCCTTTAAGTACGTGCGAATAACTGGCACGAAGAGCAAATTGCAATCAAAGTGAGAATTGGGTATGCTATATACTATGTTGCTAAAATAGTCACTATCTTTTCTGGGCGACCAGAAATTTTTTTCTGGTTTTCCAGAAACCTGTTATGCGATAGCGACGAATGGCCCTTCGCGACAGCCAAGGCAACAGCAAATCCTACCATTGTTGCTCAAAAATAGCACGCATGTGGTCAAACCGTAAAGTTTTGTATTAGCAGGAAGTGACCATCGGTGGTGTGGGCAGTTTAGTGACCTTGACTCACTGTGTGCTTATCAGCTGATATGTCTGTACACTCGCACCGCTCATGAACTCTGCTGTGGCGCATATACAAATAAAAAACAGGCGACATGCCACGCGCAGATAGAAGGATAAACACTACGGCGCATGGCAGCAGACCAAGGGGAGAAAGGAGCAGCCGAGGAAGGTGGACCTAATAATAAAGAACGGACAAGGAGGCCCCATGTGTCAGTTAGCGGGACCGCAGTGGATGAATGTAGGGGTTGTGTTTATTATGGGGGGAGGGGGGGGGAATCCAAGTTTTGACGGCTTTTAATATGCGAGTGTGTTTACTACATGAGTAAATACCGTATGTTAAAGTGATCAGCAGTAGGTTCTAGAGCTATTATCATGTCCTCCTCAACTAGTATTTTAGAAACTTTTGTTTACTTTGTTTAAAGTGGCATCAAATTTCATCAGGATATGACTTGATGAATTCAGGTAGTGTGTCATTAGAAATTTACGCCTAGCATTTAGTGTTCTGCGAATGGCAAAATTTTGAGTGTAAAGTGAATATTGAAGTGTGAGTGTGAATCGAATATTTTTCGAACATTTTTTGAATATATCTAAAATATCTATCGAATACCTCAACATGCAAATGCAGAAAAAAAAGTTTGGAGTGGATTCCAAGCATTTTCTCATGAGATAGCAAAATTAAAATGTGTCTTTTTTGCTTGGTTGATTAAGCACTGGTGAGTTTTTTTTTTTTTCTAGTTGTCTTATCAAGGATGAGGCAATGTATAGGTCAAATTGTATTTATGTACTGAATTTACACGTGGAAGGCAAAGGTGTGAATTCCTCCGCCAGATTTGAAACTTTTTTCAACTCCTACGCAAGCTCGACTTGTGTGGACAAGGGTGTGCTCTCTTCAAGTTCGAAGTTTCTAATCTGCCCTGCAGACATCAACATTGTCACGTAACATCGTAACTGCAACCTGTAGATAAGAGCACTCAAGGATGTCAAGCTGGATCGAGCAACGGCAATATGACTTTGTCTTTTCCGCAAGCTCATTATTGTCCTTTTTTGAACAATGGCACATACAAGCCTGCCAGCATCTATAGAAACAATACTTGTAGAACTTTTACTAGTGGCATTACTCCACTTCACAAAAAATATCGTCCCAATGTCATAATCATACTCCTCACTCTTTTTTCGGCGGGAAACCGATGCAAAGTTGGGGGGTGTGTGAATTACGCGGAAAAAACTTTACACGAAAACGTATAGAGGGAAAAAAAAATGAAGTGGCCGCAAATCGAGATTCTAACGCTAGCAACTAACAGCAAGCTTTGAGAAGTACTAAATAATATTTACCTCAGCAATAAAAGCAGAGGTTCAACACAAGACAAGATTTATTTGATACACAAAAAGTGCGAGCAAATAGTCGAGAATTAGAATATTATACGCAAACCTTGTGGGCGTTGCGGGCGTAGTGATAGCGTTCATCACTCAACAGAAGCCCTCAAAAGGTGAGCGTAGAATGTCAGTATTAGGCTGATGGCTATTCAACGGAATCGTCCACAGTTTCCTTCTGAAGAAATAAAGTTTACCATCAATCTCAGTATTAGGCACACGGCAGACCCCTACGCGTCCTGGTGGCTTTCAGCTGCCGTCACCAGTAGCGAACACAAAACTCGTCTACTCTGAAGGACCTACTGGCGGCCCTGTTGCCGTTGTTTAGTGCATTATCAATCACTTTCAACTTGAAAGCAGCCGTGTAGCTTCAGTATCGCCCCATACAGTGACAAGATTACCGACACAACATACAAAACATGCCGCAACGCACACTTCCAATTTTGGCTTGGCTTGGATTGGATTGAATCTTCGTGCAATAATAGTACGCTTGATGCTTTAGAGATGGCGCCTATGGTGTGCGCTCTCATCATTAACGGCTGGAACAAGCAGAGGACATTATTGCGGCAACTTTCCGGGGTGCGATAATCACTCGAGGAAAAAAATCGTATTTTTGTTTGGCGATGCGGGGGGTGCGAAAATTATGCAAGGGCAAGGATTACGCGAGTAAATACGGTACAAGATGAAAATAAAACACACACAATAACCAGTACACAAGGGGGTGTTCACGATCCCTGCAAGTCTACACAAGGGAGTTTGACGAATAGTCAGCGCTGGTAAAACAGTTTTATTCTCGAAACATGGACGACGTATGGTTGTTGTGAACGACGGGATCGACGAGCCATGTCCTCGTCAAGAACTTCATAGTTCACTTCGCTGAGACGACGGAGAACTCAATAGGGACCAAAATAGTGGTGTAACAACTTTTCCGACCAGCCCCGTTGTCGAATGGAAGTCCACAATCATACTCGTTCTCCGGGTTGGTAAGAGACGTCGCGACGACGAGCGTTGTACTGCAGTGAGTCAATACGTGTTGCTTATTGATTCGTTTGACTGCAAGCTTGTGAGCTGCGTCCACGAGTCTGGTAAATTCATTCATCTTGACACTAATCTGGTGCCTGTCTGGTAGAAGCATCGCATCTAGCATTGTAGTGACCTCCCTGCCGTGAAGCAACCGGAATGATGTGAACCCAATTGTTTCTTACGAAGCGGTGTTGTAAGCAAACGCGACGTAAGGATGGATGTCATCGCAGTTCTTGTGGTCTTGGTCAACGTACGTGGTTAACATATCGGCGATCATCTTGCTTAGTCGTTCTGTAAGGCCGTTGTTTTGTGGGTGGTATGCAGTAGTTTTTTCGATGAGCTATTCCACTAAGCTGCATGGTGTCTTGTACCATCCAGGCGGTAAAAGCTGTGCCACCATCAGCTATGACAACTGCTGGTGCTCCATGATGGAGGACAATGCTCTTCTTAAAGAAGTGGGCAGTCTCAATCACGGTGCCACATTGTAATTTCTTTGTTTCGCAGTAGCGCATCATGTAATGAGTAGCGACTACAATCTAGCGGTTGCCGTCATGAGACTTGGGAAAAGGTCCGAGCAGATCTTTGCCAATTTGTTGAAATGGTTGTGTCGGAAGAGCAATGGGCTTCAAAAAGCCGGCTTGGTACTTATGTGGTGCTTTAGGTGCTGGCACTTCTGATACGTTTTCACGTAATTCTTCACATCCCGATTGAGCTTAGGCCAGTAGTAGTCTTGGTGAATCCGTGCCAGGGTACGTGTGAATCCCTAGTGGCCGGAAGAAGGCTCGTCGCGACAGGCGGACAAGGAATCGGCTTGTAATGCTGGCGGGACGACGAGCAGGTTCTCAGTCGCGTAAGGGTGGAAGTTTCTTTTATAGAGTATATTGCTGTGAATGCAGAACGATGATTGCGAGCGTGCGATTGCTGGTGGTGGATGCGGACTGCAGTCTTCAAGATACGATAAATTGTCGAACCTTAGAATCGTTCTTCTGGTGTTCAGCTAAGTTGGATACACTAACGGCGCAGAGAAAAGGGCCGTTGAGATCGTGATCACCTCACGCTGTCATAAGAGGAGCTCGGGAAAGGCAGTCCGCATCAGTATGCGTCCGGCCAGACTTGTACATGACTGTCAAATCGAACTCCTGAAGGCGTAAGCTCCACCTGGTCAGACGTCTGGAAGGGTCTTTGAGGTTCGCCAACTAGCAGAGCGCATGATGATCGGTAACAACTCTGAACAGGCATCCATACAGGTACGGTCTGAATTTATCTATTGCCCAGAAAATAGCTAGGCACTCTTTTTCAGTGGTTGTGTTATTCGCCCCTGCAGATGATAAAATCCGGCCAGCATAAGCAATAGGACATTCGATGCCACCTTGGTACTGGACGAGGACTGCACCAAGGCCGATGTTACTGGCGTCTGTGTGTAGTTCAGTGTCAGCATCTTCGTCGTAGTGTCAGAGTAAGGGCTCAATCTGGAGACGTTGCTGGAGCTCGGAGAAAGCACGCCTTTGCTCAGGGCCCCACACGAAGGGAACATCTTCTTTTGTCAGACGAGTGAAGGATTCGGCAATATTTGTGAAATTTTGCACAAATCGTCTGTAGTGTGCGCAACCCACGCACATCACGTTTGTTGGAGGGTGGTGGAAAATCAGTGACAGCGAATCTTTTGTCTGGGTCCGGCCGAATACCATCGTGGCTAACAAGATGGCCGAGAAACTTTAGTTCCTTGTAACTAAAATGTCATTTTTCTGGTTGCAGTGATAGGCCTGTCGTGCGAATCGGAACGAAGACAAATTGAAGTAGCTGCAAGTGCTGCTCAAACCTTTGTGAAAACACGACACTGTCTAAGTAAACAAGGCATGCTTCTCACTTGAAACCGGACAGCACTGTATCCACCATCTTCTGGAATGTCCCAGGGGCAGAGCACAAACCAAAGGGTAGTACCTTAAATTCGTACAGACCACCAGGAGTTACGAGTGCTGTTTTTTCTCGGTTGCGTTCATCCACTTCGATCTACCAGTAGCCGCTGCATAAATCCATAGAGGAGAAGTATCGAGCACGTCGGAAGTGGTCTAATGAGTCATCGATGTGCGAATGAGGGAAAACATCTTTCTTTGTCACTTTGCTGAGTTCTCGGCTTCAGAAATCGAGGCAATCGTCGTACACACTTCATCGTTTATGGGTTCAAAATGAGCGATATTTGTTTGCTTGGCAAGTGTTGGAATGCTCCGCTAAAATTGGTCACCGATAACTCAGTCATCTCACAGTCAAGTGTCCGACGAAATCCCGTCTGATTGGGGACAAACATAGAGCAAAGTAACAGAAACGCCGACCAAAGTAAAATACACAAAAATTTAAAAAACATTTTTGCTTCCCACATGGTAGCCTTGTTCACATACGAAATGTTACTTTGCACTCAGTCATCTCACATTTAAATTGGGTTATGCCGTGGGCAACGCAGATTTGCCGAGCCAAGAGCACCAAAAGGTTTGCTTCAGCGATACTACTACTGCCATAATCTATGTTGTCCTGTACAATAACGAACATGCTGGTTCGTGGTGGAAGTGTGACGGTGTCGTCGACAATACGAAGTGCAGTCTTCTGTGAACTGGTATTGTTTTTTTGTGATGTACATCAAGAACTTTACAAGTTTCTGCAAATATTCTGCCTGTGAAATACATATGTGGCATTGTGTGTTATTAGCTGCTTTAAAAAACCGAAGCGAGTGAACGTCTGCAGCAGACAATTCCAAATTCCTTTTGAATCCAGCTGGCGTAACAGGTACAACTCTATCCATTTCGAAAAATGGTCAGTGACTACTAACAAGTATAGACAACCCTTAGCTGATCTGAGGTACGGTCGCATTGGGCACTTTTTCATGGGTACCTGCTTTCCACAGACTGCATAAGGCCCGGTGGTTTTGTTTCCCCTCGGTTTTGCAGTCTGTCAGGTAGGGCGTATAATAGGACGTCCTTTCTCACGTGAAGCCATGTGGCGATGCGACACAACTATTCAAAAGTTTTCTTGCCATCACTGGGACTAGCGAGGCTTGTGTCATGAAAGTATGCTAAGAAACTTCTGCATATAGTCCAAGGAATGGAAACGCGAAATGGGGGCTCACCATTGCGCTTATTAAGTGAGGGTTCATAACGCAAAAGAAGGCTGTTATCTGCTTTCAAGTAGCTGCCATTGGTGTTTGTGGATTGTGTGTTCCTGGTGGCACTTGAGATGGCCAGGCCAGTGCATATTTGCTTGAACTGGTCATCGCTTCTCTGAGTGTCAACAAGCTGCTGTCGGGAGACCAATATTCCCATGCACAAGTATTGTCACAACCAGGACGTCGGCGGCTTGTTCACCATTTTCGGGCAGTGGTGCCCAGGAAAACGTGTCAGCCACTTTGTTGCCGCTACCTTTCTTGTACTCCACTCTGTAATTATATTTCTAAAGAGGAAGAGCCCACTGGGCCAGACGACTGGATAGGTTTTCCAGCCTTGACAGCCATGACAGTGCCTGGTGATCGGTTTGAATCATAAATGAAGCTTCATCCAGGTACATGTCGAATTACTTCAGCGCGAGTACGATTGCAAGGCACATTTTCTCTGTTACGATGTAGTTTCTTTCTGTGCCCGAAGGCGTGTGGCTCGCAAATACTAGCTGGTAAAGCATCCCTTGATATTCCTGGAGCAAAACTGCCCCAAGGCCATATCCACTTGTGTCGGTCTGCTCAGTGAAGCGTAAGTTTTGGGTCAGGGCGGCGCAGCTGTGATATATCAGCGATAGCCTTCGACAGAGCCTGGGATGCTGCCCGCTCCACGTTACTCCAAGACCAATGGACTCCCTTGCACAAAAGCTGGTGAAACGGTCTTGCCAGATCGGCGCAGTGAGGAATGAAGTGGTGCTAGAAGCCCACTATATCCAAAAACCGTTGCAGGCTCTTGACGCCCATTGGTGGTGGATAATTCAGGATGGCCTGAAGTTTCTGTTCGTCTGATCATATTGTGCCTTGCTAGGCAATGAAACCTAAGAAGTTGATTTTGTTTGAGGCCAACTGAACTTTCTGGGGGTTGATAGTGATGCCTGCTTCCTGCATTCGTTGTAATACTGCGATTAGGTGAATCAGGTGCTCGTCGAAGGTTTGCGAAAAGACTACCATGTCGTTCATATAGTCCATTACATAGTTAAATTTGGCATCTCGAAGCACAATGTCCATGACGTGCTGAAATGTGGCAGGTGAATTGCACAATCAGAAAGGTAACCTCGTAAACTCAAACAATCTCCTGTGGCAAGTAAATGCCGTTTTATCAGCATCACACTCTGCTAATGAAATTGGCAAGAAGCCTCTGCTACAGTCAAGGGTAGTGAAAGGAGTACATAACAGAGTCGATTGATGGAAAGTCTTGAACTCTGACGGCATTTAACTGCCGGTAGTCATTGCACAACTACGCAGAGCCGTCCTTCTTTGGAGCTAAGACAACTCGAAATGCCCATGGACTGTTGAACCCTCCTCTAGCACCAGTGGCGAGCATTCGTTTGAGAACAGTGCCCAGAAGTTCACGCTTGTGTACGCTCAAAGGGCACGAATTGATACGGATAGGGCGGACGTCACTTGTGTCGATCCTGTGTTCCAATACATTGACCTTGCCAGGAGCCGCTGTGAACATCGCTGCAAAGGGCTTTAGGGCTGTTTTGATTTTAGCTTTTAGCTCTGATGGCCCTTTGAAGAATTTGATAACAGTCAAGAAGTCATCTGTGGTCTTCAAGAACGGATGCACATTTGTTGCAAGCAGATCAGACAGGGGTTCTGGTGAAGTAATCACAAATGTGAGTGGTCTTGCATTGATGCCATGTCTGTAGGTGCCCGTACGGATATCAAGCACTATTCCCGACTTAGCTATGAAACTGTGTCCCAAAATCACGAAGCAGGAATGTCTGGGTAGGTCTAGGAAATGTTGACGAATTTTTCGCTCATCGAGTGTAACCGTTAAACGATCTGCAAGTTTCGCAAAGACAACATGAGCAGAAGCAGCGTGCAGATTAGTGTCGACGCTTCGCAAAGCTAAGCCTTTAATCTCGCAGGCATTCTGAATCCGATTCCTGAAAGCAGAAACAGCTGAGCCAGTATCTAAAAGAGTCGGCACTTTTACTCCTGTCATGGAAACCATCACAAACGGTGCTTTTTTAGCGTGGACGATGAGAAACAGAAGATCACTCACCATATTGTAGAGTACACCGTGGCTGTTTTCGGGCGGGGAGCACTTTGAAGGACCGTTGGTTTCTCGGTTTTCTGGTAGATATCCGAACGGGAAGGGATGTGGCTGTATCTCTTTGGGCATGTGCTGCTTTGCCGAAGGTTTCCCGTGGTTGTGTTTCTTGGCGACTGGATGATGCGAAGACCAAAACACCCAGCGTCGAGGCCTCTGCGATGTGCCTGGCTGCTCTTGAATACGAGCCGTAGCCCATGTAGGGGCTGTAGTAGGTTTTCCAGGACCTGCGTAAGGTGAAAGGACCCCGGAGGGGCATCAGAATACTGGCTGGCGATTGGCATGCGCTCATCATTGCCGGCCCTGGTCGTTTCCCGGACGGCCAGGGCGTGGTCTGCTTGGGCACTGGCTTCTGTAGTGGCCCCAGCCTCCACACGGGAAGCACGCCAGAGAGCTCTTGCTTCTGCCTCCTGCACCAGAATGTGCAGCGGCCGCTACGGGCTGACCTTGGGTCAGGGCACCCAGTGTGGGTGTCCGACGTTCCTGGATTATTGACGTGAAGGCAGACGAAGCAGACAAATTGCAGTGGCTGAATGGGTCTAGATCCCTTGGTGGAGCCGTCAATGAGGCTATCGGGCTAGACCAATCATGCCACGCACAGAACAGCTCGAGAGTGAATTCGGGCGGGAATGGAGGTTGGTATGTGAGCTCCGCAACGTCGCGGCCTGAATATCTCCTGTCGCTCTAGCGAGAACATCGAGTGAAGAGAATGAACAACCCCTAAAGTACGCATGATAATGCTGATGCGATATCTTAACTACCCGTGTCACTCTGTCCGCTCGGATGCCGAAGAATCCACGCTGTCGTAAAGCTCTTGTAACGACACTATGTATTCCTGGAGGCTTTCATCCTCAGTCTGTGTACACCTTCTTCATCTTTTTATGCGAACGATGTCGTCGGAGGAGAAGAAACTCGACACGGAATAGCTGCTCAGAATGGGACCAACTGTCAAAAGAATGGCAATGATGCTAACTTGTGGTAGAGCCAGACAGGGCGACGGGCAGAACGCGTAGCAGAAGAGTCTAATTTGACAGGGCTTGCGCGTTGTGATAATCTTGTAACTCTTGCAAAAAGTCTGCAACCGATTTCTCGTTCGTGTGTCCCTCGTATGTAGCCATGGCCAGCGATAAGCGAAAACTGTCTGGTGTAGCCTGGCGTTCTAACAGCACGGTCAGTTGCTTGACGATACAAAACACATCTTCGCGAGGGCGTCCTGTTTCGCCTTGTCAAGCATTATATTAGATTTTAGATCCTCAGGGTTTTCACCTTCAGGAGCTGTAAATGTACCGAAATGCAAGAGCATGGGAATGCGCAAGGAATAATGCGTTTGAGATTGGCTGACTGGGTGGGTGCCCTTATGCATGCGGTTCTCATGGTACGAAAACAACCTGCAATGAAAAGAATGAAAAGAGAGCAAACCACATTTGAAGGAACAAAAGGAAGGTCAACTATTTGCGAAAACTACATTGGGCACCAAATGAAAGCCCCGCCTCCGCTCAGGGGGGTCAGTCAACTAAAATTCGCAAGACACGAGCCTGTAACCCTGAGAAGAAGAACTTCTTTTATTCACAACTCAAAGAATCACAACCGGTCTTCTGGACTAGCACAATACAGCACTAGCGCACACAGGAGAACCAAAAAACGCCCCGAACTTACAAACCTCGTAGACTGTCAGTCAATGAAACATACGGCACGGAACATAACAGTAGGAAAGCAAATTCACACATAGCATGCTGTAGAATACGAGCCATCTACTTGCCTTAGTGGACGCCCAAATTGGCATGACCTCTGCTCTGTAGCACACATTGAGGAAGAAAAAACCCATCACGTCTAGCGCGACCGGCACTGTATCCGATCGCTACCACGCCACCTAAAAGCCCTTGGGCTCGTGTCACCCCTCTCCTTATCTGCCCGCTGCTTTTTTCCGCCCCCTTTGGGTTTTACCGGATGCTGACACACGTCCCACGCATGCGCAATGCGCATGTGCTCTCCTCGCCATCCTTCCACTGTGTGTGCTGCATATAAGGGCCCATTGGCCTGACAGTACGTAAAAGACTGTCGTGAATGTCAGCGTCGCAAGTCACTATCAGGCAAGCCAGCTGGATCACTTCAACGAATTGACCCGCCTCACAAGCCATTTGACCAAGTTGGCATGGATCTTCTGGGCTATTTTCTACTCGCTACCAACAGCAACAAATGGGTGATAGATGCAACTGACTATTTTACACGCTGTGCCGAGACAAAGGCGATACCCCAAGCCACGGCTGCCAAGGTAGAGCAGTTCTTTATGTGCCACATCGTGTTGTGTCATGGGGCTCCCTCTACAGTGTTAACATACCGAGGGACAGCGTTCACTCAGCAACGTATGGATGAGGTTTTTTTGGCTAAGCAACACTAGGCATCCGAAGACGACTGCTTACCATCCACAAAGCAACAGCCTTACCGAGCGACTAAATACAACAGTCGCCGATATAATCTCCATGTACATCGATGTCCAGCAAAAACATGGAATCAGATATTACCTTATGTGACACTCCCTTACAACACTGCCATTAAGGAAACGATGCGATTCGTGCCATTTTACTTTCTATACGGCCACGAAGTTCAAACTAAGTTGTACGCTATGCTTCCCTGTCAAGATGCTGACCAGTTAACAGCTGAGGCTGAAGAAATCACCAAACGCGCTGAGGAAGCTCGCAAGCTTGTACAGCTGCACATCGGTCTGCAACAGCACGATGCTTCAATACCTGCCATCGAGATGTGCCCTACTGTCTAGGAGACCAAGATTGGATGTGGACCCTTGTTCGTCAAAGTGGCCTCTCGAAAAAGTTTATACGCCGGTACTGGGGACCCTATAAGCTGCTGTGCTTCGTGAGTGATGCGAACTACGAGGTAGTTCTAGACAGTTGGTCGTCAACTCAAACAAAACGAAGACAACCAAGTCCGACATAGTTCATGTCGTGCGCATGAAACCTTATTTTGCGCGTTCATAATTTCTCCTGCCATTCATTTCCTTTTTTTTTATTACGCTTAAACTTGTGTTATCGCGCTGTATAATCTGTTTACTTTTAGTCTTGCACTTACCTTACAGCATAGAGGCGATGCTGTTTTTTGCAGAGGAGGGAATAATGTCACCCGTACTGCCGCTTAGTGGGTTACATGCTTATGCAGAGGCACAGGACACAAAAAGAAGTTCACGCGTTATTCGTCTCTCGAGTGCACGCCCAAGCGACACATCTGGCAAAAGTCCTGCTGCTCTACCCCTATGTCCAATGAAACTCACCTGGACCTTCAAAGAAGCGTGGCAATATAATGATGCCGCGAACGCCTAAATACAAAATTGTTTACTTGACAATGTTTTATAACTGTGAACAGCTTTGTTTAATTTTAGTTAGATGTCAATTTGAATCCCAGAAGTTATGTCTTTGTTGCTCAATGTATATTAGCTTCATTCTGGAACAAGTTACAAATAAACCTTGATATAACAAAATATCAGTTATAACGAAGTAAATGAAGATTATTCTTTCAATAGATGCAGTATTAACAATGCATCTTTATAATGAATTTTCAGATATAACGAAGTTATTTTTGTGCAAAATACAACTTTGATATAATTAGGTCTGAATGTATTAGCATTTGTTTTCTTGGCAGCTCTTTAAGCTGTGCTGCCAGTGTTTTTTACTTGACACTTTTTTAATTGGTGAGTGTCGATGCTCTACATGGCAACCAGCTAGTGGTGTTGCCATCTGATTGCAAGAACATCATTAAGAAGCCTCCGCCAGATGGCAGAAATCTAACAAATGTAGAGGAGCAACAACGCCATATTTTTATCATTTCATTTCTGAGAAAGCTTACACCACCCAGAAGCTTCTCAGGTGTATTGTACATGGCAAAGAGCGTTGCAGGTACTTAAAGCACAAACTTGAAAGAAAACAAGAGAGACAGGAAAGAGCGCTCTTTCCTGTCTCCCTTGTTTTCCTTCAAGTTTGTGCAGCAAATCAATTTTTCAAATAAGTATGCCAGGTGTCTCACGTAAGTAGCTCCAAATAGCTTTAATAACAACGTTTAACCACGACTGAGTGAAACCAATAGCATGTGGTTTATCGCCATATAGTGCTCATTATGGTAGTTTTATATTGTGCTTACGTTGTTGATTAACCAATGGTGCAACATTTTTAACATTCACTTTAGGGCAGAGCGGGCTTCATTACATCATAGCATGTATTTAAAAACAATCAAACCAAATTGTTTTTTGGTGCCGTACCTGCTGTGTAATGAATATTTTCTTGTTTTTAAAGAAAGCGTGCTAAAAAAAAAACAACTTCTCCCACTTAAGGGAGTCATGTGTAGATGCCAAGCAGCGGGCATGCTTATGCTTACACTGGCGGCGACGTTGATGCTGGCACTCATTGCGGCATTGCATAGGGGAGAAACGAGGGGAGTCGCAAAGCATGCAGTGATAGACTGAGGCTTCCTACTGCAACATGCCAATCGCTGCTAATGGGCTGTGAAAGACAGAAGACTCTGATTGGGCACCGAGACCCACAGTCAGCTTTTAGTTAACGCACACGTTGCGAAATTTTATTTTTCAACAATCGCGCAGGAAAAATCTCCCATCTGGCACTACCTTGTAGGTCAAGACCCAGTGCCTGTCTATACGGGGTGGCGAGCAAACGGCAGTGCTCCACGCAAGAAAGCATCTACTCAAGAAAAACTTGGATAACGACTTTATAGTGGCAACCGAATTGGAGTGAAATACAACACACACATTGGTATAGATGGCGCAGTACCGTGGCTACTAACGAAGTTCATGGCACAGACACAACTAAACAAAAACGAAACATCGAGAAACAAAAAATCAGCTGTGCACATTAGTGGTACAAGCCACTTGTAAAGCGACAAGCAAGCAAGCTATACGTTTGGGTGCTCAAAATGTCTCATGCCCCATTACTTGACTCTGCTTCACCAATAGATACGTATATACACCTAATATATGCTCACTGTGGCAGAAAGCAAAACAATGACACTGTCATTATTTTTATTGAGGTCGCTTAGTGGCAGCATTGTCAGCTTGAGATGTGGAGTTCTGCCCACATTGTTTGTCATGGTGGCATTCTAGTAGCAGTGAACATTTTATACAGCGGTTATACAGCGGCTGCAGCTTTCATTTATTTTCTACCAACCAAAACCTTTTATCTTTACAATGGTGGGTTCTTGAACTCCTTCTTCATGAGAAATAAAAAAAGGAACAAGTGAACATCAAAACATGCACGTTATACTTGAAGAAGTCTGTGTTTTTTTGTTTTTTTTTTTACCTATACAGCACCAATTTTACAGCGTGGAGGCCTTGAGCTCCACCACATTCCTGTGGTGCGATTCGATTCCTTGGTCACAACAGCCTGCTTTTTGCCTTCCAGTTGCCAAAGAATATTAGCTTTCTCGCTTAACGAAAACTTTGTCCGCTTCTTTGTCGCAAGCAGAGATGAATGCATTGTACTAGCACTGCAGCAGGAACACCGACTTGCTTTGCCGACGCGACAAGTAATCACCAAAAAAAGATGAACACGATTGACAAAAGTGACAAAGACAACAAAAACCCGAAGCGTGGCAACTGTCATCGCCTCTTCCGAAAAAAAAAAAAAAGAAAGAGCTAGAAAGGAAAATTTCTCGCTGTAGAGGAAACTTCCTCGCTGTCTCAGGTTTTCCGTCCGCGCCCATGCTTCCAGCTCCGCAACTCCCACTCTGCCTCGCTGACCTTGCCCTCCGGTGTTGCCCTCGCCTTTCGCCTCTCTGCTTGTACACCTGCAGCGTCAGCATTTTAACAAAAAGAAAGAAAAGAAAGTCGTACTATAGTTTTTTCTCCCCCTCCGCACCGTCGCGAGTCTTTCGAGAAGCAAGGCGTCTTTTCCCTGTGTCGTCTGCTTGGGTACCGCTTCGATGGTTGCGACAGATTTCAGAACATCAGTTCATAGTACTGAGGCGTTGTTAATATAATGCAGAACTGAATTAGTGCTCGTTATTCTGAAAAGTTCGGTATTCTAAAGTACGCAGTAGTGAAATAATTTTACATTGAAACTATTAGCAGTCGACGTGGAATTTTTTGAAACTTTGTTAATTTGAAAAGTTTGTTTATCTGGTGTTCGTTCTACCGAGATTTCACTGTACCTATAACTTCCCGCAATCATCAGTAGACTTTACTACTAGATTTTGGCACAGTAGTAGGTATGCACTGCGGCTCTGTGGCTTTCACATTACTGTAAAGAAAAGTTGTCACAGAGTGTAAACCTTCACGACTGCTATATGTAACGTGGACAGTGTCTCAAACCGGAAGTGAATAGCCCGCAACGATTTGCAAAAGTCAGGTTTTCCCTATCCTCTTATTCCTAATCGCAGCCCTTAGTGATGTTAGCATATTATCAATGCAAAGACAGCCATGTCTGAAAGGGCATGCTAAAGAGGTCCAGCTATTCAAGATTAACTGGAGTCTTCTACTGTTGCATGCCTGCTAATTATGTCATAGCATATGAAGCTCAGTATTTTCATTTTGTTTGTGCCACTATAGGATTCATTTTTACTTTGACACTGCATCGATTTCATGCAGGCTGGTTATGAAACTTATGATGCGTACGGACGACAAGTGGCAGCTCATGATCCATACCGCTTCACTCGTAGCACAGCACAGCCGGCCACACTGAGGCTTCCCGCAGCCCGTCCACCTCCCAGGTGAGGACTTTGTTCATTTTCTTTTAGATTCCTGGATCATTTGAAGGAACATTGTTTTTATCAAGTCGCTTTTACCTTTGCTTTGCAATTGAACTGGCAAAGTCAATGCGACTATCGAGCATCTAAAGCTAGTCCAACAACCACTGGCAAGAAAACTTTTGAAGCTTTGAGGTGAGTCAACTGGCTTTATCAAAAGCTTAAAAAAAGTCAGTGGCAGGGAAGAGCCCTAATTTGGTAATAAATAAACTGGCTTGATCCTTGTATTATATTCACTGTTGGAATTCAGTGCTTCAAATCCACTTCCATAATATCGTCACACACAAGCTGTATAAGTTCGCAACTGTACTATGTGACTATCATATGTGTAGTAGTGTAAGCATGTTTGGAGCAAGGAAGAGGTTTTAGCTTACTTGGTGTTAAATGAAAATAACAGCTGAAATTCTTTAATTCATTTTATTTTTGCATGAAATGATTGGATATGGAGAGGCAAACTGATAAATGAAAAAGAGGGGACGCCACTCTAGCACTGACTTGAGACTGAACTTATCACAAAAAAGAGCAAAAAAGGTAAACTAAGTTAGACGTGGCACATGCACGTGCACTCGCACAGACGGCTCACAAAATCTCACGAAACAACATTGCAAAGTCATTCTGATATGAAACCACATTTCTGCAATAGATAACATTCTCTATCCAGCAGACTCGGTGAAGGTTGGTTGGTGCATGCCGTTTATTTCTTATTTAAATAGAGAGGCTTTGACAACCTCCCATGTTACCTTATCATCGAGTATGAAAATGACTGCAGAGCAAGGTGGGAATAGATCATACATTTAAGCTGTGGCTCTCTCTAAGCCTTACATTCAAGCACCAGCCTGACTGTCTAGTAGAACGCCACCCATACGATAAAGGAATGTGGTGTACAACACCCTGTTTACAGGGCACAAGCTGCATGTCATGTTTTGCCTCTGTATCAAGTGCTTTATGCGCCGTTGTTAATGCCGAGGTGCTTCTGCAAAGCAGGACATTTGGCCCTTAGTTTATTCTTTGCTTAAAAAAAAAAAAAGCCACGTTGACGCCAGGACGGGCGGCATCTTTTTCAAGTGGTGTAAAAATTTGTACATATATTAAACAATCACAGAGGGTCATGTCTTGAGCTACCTGTTTGCCAGCATGCTTGCACTTGCCTTCCACCTTGGCCAACCTTAGAGCTTACTGGGCAGTGGAGGCAATCACTGAATTTTGATGCACTGCACCTTAAAACTTGTGTACCTGGTTATGAACACTTAGTTGCATGAAGTGCTCGCACGTTAACAGCAGAGCGAATACACAACTTAGCAATGACATTTTTCAGGAGATTGGAATGACAGGAATTAAGGATGAGCTGGGTTTTTCACAGAATAGAGTAAATACATCCTGCATAAGTGGGAGTTATGAAAAGAAATTGGCACATTTAGGCACTGAATCGTGTTATCTTGTGGCATTTCAAAGGTAAAGTTTAGTTCTAGTTCTTGCTGCCTAAATAGCTTCAAGACATTTTCAACAGTGCAGTTCAAGTTGTCCCCATTCACAAACACCAAACAATCATCCACGTAGTGTAAAATTTTACTGGCATGGCCACATAGTTTTTTTAAGGCCTTATCTTCGCTACAAATGCAAGTTGACATAATCCCGAAAAAATTTGTTATGAACAGGTTTTTGTTATATCTAAATTTAGCACGAAAATTGAGAAAAGAAACACACAAATGAACAAAGGGGAAACTGAAGGTCGAGTTCACCCAAAAGATTTTTTTTCAGTAAAAAACTGTTATTATTTAGATAGCACTTAAATTTTTGGCATCATGTTTTGTACAAAGTCCAAATCGATTACTTTCCCCTGTGCAGAAGACCAAGTGAGCCGGCCCATTCCCATTGCAGGAAAGGCACATGCAATAATATTGCCCTAAATGCTCAAGCAGTAAGGAAACACAACCTGGCTTGAACGAGCATGAAGAAATGCTGGGAAGAAGAGAGGGGGGGGAGGCAGCTCAAGTGGCAACAGTTAACTTGAGTTTTAAGGGGGGCGGGGTGGTAACAATCGCATTTATAGAAGTGCATCCTATTTTTGCAAGCATAACCATGTTGTGCTTTCAACACAAAGAGACTATGCGAAAAGAGCATTTCTTTCTGGAGCGGCGGTATTTTCTTCTAGGAGCATGTTTTCTAGAGTTACACCATTAAACCCCCTTAAAATGTAGCTGCCAACCTTACTTCGTATAACATCACAGTTTTTAGGCTCACATTCATTGCTTCCCTTGCAGTGAAACTGATGATGGGCTAGTGGCTACACGCTATACCATCGGTGTCCAGACATGGCCTCCAAATTGTTTGTCCGAGAAGTCTGTAGTATAGCGAACCCGCGGTGGGGGCACAAGGCATGACAAGTCTACTTCTGAAGATCAGTCGTCGTCGTCTCGGTAGTGACAACACGGTTGTCCGCTTGAAAAAAATTACAAAGCAGAACCTTGTTGACAACCATGATGTAATGCCACAGTTTTATTGCAGTAGCGTAGCGATTTTATGAACACTCTTAGTTGATTTTTGTTGTTGCCGTCATCGCCCATATATAGATATATATATATTGTGATGTAACGGTGAAGGCAACCTTTATTAGGCCCAGAAGACACGATGAAGCGACCACGCCCAAGGCACAGAACTCAGACAAGCTAAGTCCCCACAGCAGATGAAAATGACGACCACTCATGATGATGAATATGTGTAAAGAAAGTAGATGTGCTTAATGAATGCCTACACTAACTCCCCCCCCCCCCCCCCCCACGTGAAAGCAGTCATCCTGATCGCAGTTCTTTGCCGCAGTTTAAAGCAAAGATGAACGCCGTATGAAAGGCTTCATGCGGGATACGTGGACTATTTCTGCTGCTCTGTAGCGGCGGTCCGTTGGAAGAAGAATGGGTGCCACACGATAATTCACAGGAGACGTTTGCTCCAAGACAGTGTAGGGGCCAATAAAACGTAATTGAAACTTCTCGCACAGTCCGGGAGTGCGAATGGGTGTAAAAAGGAGGACTTCGTCGCCAGGGCTGAAAGACACGGCACGATGAGAGGCATCATATTCAAGCTTGCGATCCTGTTGCTTGGCTTCAGTGTTGACGGGAGTCAGCTGGCGGCAATGAAGTATACGAGACACGTATTCTTCACTTGAAGATGAACCTGGTTTGACAGGCGCAGAGAAGAACGAAACATCGAGGAATGAAGAGGGGAAGTGACCGTGGACGAGGTAGAACGGCAAGTGACCGGTTGTGCCCTGTACAGAGGTATTATACGCAAAAGTGACAAATGGCAAAATGGTGTCGCAGTTTCTGTAGTCGGGTTCGATATACATCGCTATCATATCTGACAGTGTACGATGAAAGCACTCAGTCAGGCCGTTCGTCTGAGGATGGTAACAGGAGCTTGTTTTGTGTGTAGTGCCGGATGCCTTGAGCACTTCTTCGACGAGTTCTGAAAGAAATACTCTTCCACGGTCGCTCAGGATTACACGAGGAGCTCCGTGTCGAAGGATTATTGCTCGAAGGATGAAGTCGGCCACTTCCGAAGCTGATGCAGAAGGCACGGGAGCTGTTTCGGCGTAGCGGGTCAGGTGGTCGACAGCTGTAACTATCCATCGATTGCCCGTGACAGTCGTAGGAAGCGGACCATACAGGTCAATGCCAACTACCTCGAAATGTTGCAGGGGACACAGGAGCGGTTGTAATTGTCCACTTCGAGTTGATGTAGGTAGCTTGCGACGCTGACAAAGGGCGCATGAGGCGACGTACTTCGCGACACAGGTGGACAAGCCTGGCCAATAGTAGTGACATCTTATGCGGTCATACGTTTTCTGGAAGCCCATGTGTCCAGCAGACATGTCGTCGTGTTATGTCTTGAGGGCTTGCGCCCGAAGAGAGCGAGGTAGAACGAGCAACCAGCGTTGACCATCAGGGTGGTAGATATGACGGTACAGGACGTGGTTGTTGAGCTTGAATTGAGTCAGCTGTTGGCGAAGACGGGCGTTAGGGGGCCGGCAAGTCCCGTCAAGACGGTCCATGATGCGGCGACAGTAAGGGTCAGCACATTGGTGAGATAAGAACAAACCACACTCGCTTGGAGAAGTTGGGTCCACAGTAGCTAATGACGAAACATGTAGAGAAGAGATGGCCGAAAGCTTCTCGAGTGCGGCAGTGGCGGGTTTGTTAAGTGGCTCCGAAGAGAGCGGGCAACGCGAAAGTGCGTCGGCGTCTTGATGCTTGTTTCCCGACTTGTATGTGATCGTGAAGTCGTATTCTTGTAAGCGAAGAATCCAGCGACAAGTTCTTGATTGTTGAGAGCCAGCACAAGGGTTGATGGTCCGTAACCACAGTAAAGTGGTGGCCGTGGAGATAAGGTCGAAACTTTTGTATCGACCATACGACCGCTAGGCACTTCTGTTCGGTGATGGTATAATTCTTTTCGGCAGGGGTCAGTGCACGGCTCGCGTATGCGACGACTTTCTAACGTGAAGATTTGTCTCGCTGTAGGAGAATTCCACCAATGCCTCGACCACTAGCGTCTGTATGCAGGAGCGTAAATGCGGTTTCGTCGAAATGGCAGAGGACTGGTTCGGATGTGAGTGCACACTTCAGCTGGGCAAACGCCGCTTCACATTCAGGAGACCACACAAAGGTGACGCCTGATCCGAGCAACTTGTGCAATGGTGAAGCTATTGAGGCGAAGTCTCGAATGAATCGGCGAAAATAAGAAGCGAGGCCGAGGAAACTGCGCAAATCTTTGGCTTTTTCAGGACACGGGAAGTGTTGAGCAGCGGAAATCTTGTCAGGATAGGGACGAAGACCGCCCTTGCTTACGATGTGGCCTAACACTTTAATCGTCTTGCTCGCAAAACGGCACTTCTTGGTGTTCAGCTGAAGGCCTGCATTTGCAAGGCACGTAAGAACTTCGTCCAGTCGTTGCAAGTGCTGAGGGAA